TGTTGGGAAAGAGGAGTCACAAACTGTTGATGAATATATTTAATTAACTACATCCACATAAAATACAATTTTATTAACAGTATCTTGATTTATGGGTTATTAGATGACATTATTTTCATATTAATTAAAAATAAAATTAACAAATAAATTACAAAATCAGTGTGAAAATATCGCAATAATCAATTAAAATGTCAAACCAGCCAATTGTTTCAATTATGCATTTTTGAGTGTAACCTCATCCGCCCCCCCCTGTTGAGAGAACAAGAGAGTTGCTGTAGGCCTCCATTGTCCCTTTTGATAAGTGGCAATGCACCATATAATTTTCCTGTCAAATGCCAGACGAATATACTTGTCAATGCAAGGGCAGAGCTCTGGCACTCTATGGGCTGACCAGTATATGCCTTGTGGCTATGTATCCTATTAAGCCTTTGGCAAGATGCAATGCAACCCAACGCACCCTACTTTATTATTATTCTGTCTAATATTGGCAGACCATTTTATTTGTGAAGGGTAGAGCGCTGAATGCGTTAACCCCTTAATTAAGTGGCATGTGCCCTGATGCACCCTATTTTAGTATTTTACTCTGTCTAACACCAGACGATTTTACTTGTCAAGTGGAGAGTGCTGCCACTCAATGGGTTAAGTGGAATATTATACTAATTGCTTTGAGCAAAGGTGATTCCCCTTTGTGGCATAAAATTTAACCAGGGCATTCTTCTTCAAGTTTTCAACACATCTCAGGATTTTTCTTGGCATCTGGAAAGGTGTAATAAAATACATCCAATCAGTCATGTACTATATTGTCTAAATTAATATAATTTGATCTACATGCTTATGCTACACCATTATTATGCTATTGAATATTATATTATTTTTTCCTTTCAAATATTAAAATATGTCATTTCAGACATAGTCGTAGAAGTTAGAGTGTTGTGAAATAGTCATCCCCACATATTCGTCAAGAAAAGTTCATATCTATTTGCTGGCCTTTTTAAGTTCAGAACTATAAACTTTACTTGTACAACTATCTATTTGGCCTCCTATGTTAGCCATGAAAAGAGATTAAAATTGTATATTAAAATCACAACTCAAAATTGTAGTGTGAGCCTTGCAAGCTTTTATTCAACACTTGAGAGACAGAGACACTACAGAGATCCTTGTTAGGAACAGTTTTGATCTTTTTTTGCCCATTTATGCAACCATATATTGGGCCTCCTATGACAATATATTAAAACCCTAGGATAAGTTGGAACTATTGACACCATTTGGACTTGACACTTGTCCATCATTTTAAGGCATTCCATTACAATACTGTGTGTGAAAATTGATGTTGGATCTTTGGGTAAGGACTCCAGAGGAAAACAAAAACTATTACCTGCCCAAATGGCAAAATAAAACACAAAGAAAAGTGATAAAGCCAGAAAAAAACGGCCAGGCTGCTGTACAGCGTCGTTATATGTAAATTTCGTATCCAATTTTTTCTTTTAAAAAACGGTATTTAGTACAAAGCCTACAAATGAAGCACAGAAAAAGAGTTTAATACATCTTACCGGTAAAAAGAAGTGTTTCTTCTTGATATTAAAGAATTGTGGCATCATGAAGCCATGCAAAAACTCTGCATTTTTTCTTGATGTTTTTTATATAAACTTTCAGCAGAAGTTTCAGCTTTTTTGTGCAAAAACCAGGGGGGTGAAATCGTCGTCTGAAGCCACAGATGAGGTAAGTACAGATATGAATCTCACGGCAAATTATGTCACACGGATTAAATAAACTTTAAAATTGTATTAATTCACTATTTTATTAAATTTTGATAATGCAGAGGAATAAAACTATACATATTATAGAAGTATTCATGTTTTTTTATGCGAGAGTTATGTTTTGAGGCATTTATATCATTCGCTGTTTTGTTATTTAAACACGAGCATCTGAAATTCCCAGCAAGTGTATTTCACGATTTTAATAAGAAGTAGATAGGGAAAAAAACAAACTTTTGCTAAATAAAATGTTATATTAACACTTTTAATAAAAAGAAATCAATAAAAGTGATCGCTTACCGTTACTCTTGAAAAATTAATTCCAAAAATAGCCGTCGGTAGCGTAGACTTTTTAAAAAAACAATTTTTCGTCTTTCGAACGGCGTTTTCCTATCTCTTTCCTTATTAAATTTCAGAACGACACTTGCCAGCGCTCGCCGGAAGTGAGAATTCCGTGTGACACAAAACAATCAGCAATTTGACGTGAGATTCATATCTGTATTTACCTCATCTGTGTCTGAAGCCGAGGATCGCGGTTGGTCAGTGGTAATTACCACGAGGATTTGGGACCAGTGGCGTCATTCTGGCGTCAGCAGACGTGAAAATCCGCCATGTTTTTGGCGACACTCTTTCATGCCGAGCACTTCCTCCAGATATATTATAGCTCAGTGGTACCCATATACTAAACGAGCATAAAGAATCATCAACCAGAAATTTAGACAATTAATAAGCATCTTATCTACAATACAAGAAACATTGCATGCTCAGTCGCTAATAACATTTTTGCACTCTACATTTTGCTTCTATATCTTTTTTCTTCAAAGCAAGTACTACTGATAAGATTGCATTCAAATATTTATTTTCCAAATTACTAAACATATATCAATACATACTTTACTTGTATTTAAATTTGTGGAGTGTTAGGATCTTTGGATTGTGTTCACAACGAGCTTCAATTTTCTAAATTTACAATTTTCACTGTTTAATGCTTCACTAAAATATTCAGCTCCTTGATCTGTTATTTCATTATAACCGAAATCCAATTCAGTAAGTTTACAATTTTCACTTTTTAAAGCTTCACTAAGATATTCAGCTCCTTGATCTGTTATTTCATTACGATCGAGATCCAATTTAGTAAGTTTACAGTTTTTACTTTTTAGTGCTTCACTAAGATATTCAACACCTTGGTCTGTTACTTTACTATTATAGAGGTTCAATGTAGTAAGATTACAATTTTCAGCTTTTAAAGCATCACTAAGATATTTAACACTTTGTTTTGTCATATCCACATGACCTTCGATTTTGAGACGTAATTTAGTAAGCTTACAATGTTCACCTTTTAAAGCATCACTAAGATATTTAACACCTTCGATTTCTGAAACTGGATCCCATGAAAAGGAGGTAATAGCGTTACCGGGAGTGTTAAATAACTTCTCTATTTTAGAGTAGCTATAGTTGCCCTGTATTTTGCATTTGTTAAATGCAAGTCTTTTTAAATTATTGGTATTGCCCAACAATTGAAACAATGCTGTAGAATCAATTGATGTAATACTTAAGTTATCCAAACGCAGGCCTCCATCTCCTTCAGCCAAAAGCTTACTGGAAACTGATTTCATGATATCAATCTCTTGCAATTCATACAAGCACTTTATGCCAAGTAAAGCAATTTTGTCGTTTCTTCCAGTTCGCAATGAAAATGCCCATTCTTCAAATCTAATTTGAGAAAAAAATCATATTTTTGAGAGAACATTAGCTACATGCTATCCAAAATATTTGAACTTGATGAAACACCAATATTATTTTCATCCATTCCTAGATCTCGCTAAACATTTGGTCATATTTAAAGAACGACTTAGGCCCCGTTTACATGAGACTGGGACGAAGTCAAACAGAATGAAAACTGAAATTGTCAACTTGTTTGCACTAGACCGGCACGAAAATCACAAAATTTTCAATTTATTCCCCTTGCCAGGCAACTTTCTTTTTTAGATGGCTTTTGTTAGCATGTGTTGTTCCAGTGTCAAGGTTACAGCCGAGACCGGTCTGAAAAGACTGAAATTTGTTTGTGTTTACTGTTCTGAAGTCAGTCGGCTCGACTGACTCGGTCCAGCAGGTGGAATGACTTGAGACCTGTCTTGAGTTATTTTTGTCCCGGTCTCATGTAAACATCTATTATAAATAATAGCCTACTATGACCGAAACGAAATGGTCCCGGTTTCACTTCGTTCCGGTTTCATGTAAACGGGGCCTACGAGCGTTTTATCTTAGTGCTTTGAACAACTTCAAGCACGATTACTTCAAGAACACGTCAAGAACATTATTATTTTACACATCAATGTTTCTCCAGAGTTCATTCGCCCCAGTGTTTCGCGCATACTATGTATTGTCGAGATCTGAATAATGAGTCGGTCGATCTGGAAGTTTTCCCCTACAGCTTGCCGCGCTAATTCCGGGGAATATAAAATGCGGAATTGGCCGTGCGAAATGGCATGCGCAATGAGTGCGGATGCAAATTCTGTGACATTTTTTTCGTGACAATTAAAATTCCACGACATTTCTCTAAGCGCTTTTCTTGTGTTTGACATTGAGAAATACTTTTATTTTAATTATAAATTTATAACAATGCCAAAAGGCATGCACCTAAAAATAATATTTAAACCCGTCTACATTGCCAAAAGTGTTCTATACAGCTAACGAAACACAAGAAAGGTAAATGCAAACTATTTTGCGATCGCCGGAAGGGCGTTTGCTCAAGCCGTCAAAGTTGTATTTTTCAGCTGTCTTGTTATCGTCGCTACCTACACTGGCACAGATCGTTTGTTATTTTATCCCACTGATCTGTTTTACCTTTTCTAATAACGCCTGACAATTTCAACCTTAAAATGAGGTTGTACGTTAATGAGTAGCAAAAACCATCTGCACCAAGTCCACCATGCACACAAACGGTGTAGTGGACTGGAACACAGCTACCTAGATCTCTTCATAATCTACTAAGCTGCCTTGCATTACCGTATTTTATTCTGTCTACTAACTCAAACAAATTATTTAATTACAAATATGAGATGTCATCTCAAATCCTCAAACAAGGATTCGATCGAGATGGTAGCAAAACTATTTTTGTACTACTCACAGATGGTACCAAACCTGTTTTTGTACAAATTTGTACTAATATACACTATACGGGAAAATATAATACCTTTTCTGAATACCAGCATGGAATTTTTGCCTCTTGGATTCATTTGTATCACTTGTTACGCCCTCATCTGCCATCTTAGCTTCTCTAATTTCATCTCCAACTAAACCAGCGATAAACTGTATCACCAAATGCCACTTGGGATCATCAATATGACTGGCCAAAAATTGCTCAACAATGTCCATATCGTCAACCACTTTTGATGCTGCAAGAAACTCCTGCAGTGTTAGATGTAGAAAACAAAAGACGTTCTGCCGTTTGTCTGGTAACTTGTGAATTAGGCCACATTTGGCTAGGTCGCCAAATTCATCAGTCGTCGATCTCTCGAAAATTAACCTGTCATCGCTAATTCCACTTTTTGCAACTTTCTTTAGCTTCATCAAGTCATCTTCCAGTTCTTTAGGAAAAGGAGTAATGAGGTAATCATTCGGCCTTGGTTGCAACTTATATATTGGATGGTGTCGATATAATAAGACTTTTACAGCTCTTTTGTACAGTTCAGTTATAGTTTCTGGAATATTCTTATGTTCCCCAGTTTCATCGTTTTCAATGCTTTCCTTCAAACTTAAACAAACAATGTAACTATTGACAGGTATATAACACAAGCTTAGCAGTTCGGCGGATCCTTCGATTTGATTCCAAATCAATTCACTGGTATCATTATCATTCTTACAAAATTTAAAAACATACTCCTTAATTTGTTCTTCAAAAAAGCCCAAAATCTCAACTGTTCTTTGAAAATTTAAGTTTTGAAAAACATGCTGTGCCGTTGGCCGTGACGTGGTCAGTACTATGACGCCAGGTAGCATTATACCTTTGATCAACATTTTAAGAATTGAAAACACAGGCATCTTTTCATTTGGGCTACTAACGCTCTTTGTCTTTGTCTGTAAAAGCTGGCTGTCAACAGTAAGTTCGTCTAATCCATCAAAAATGAGGACGGTTCTAGTTGGGTTACACAATACAAAATTATACTCAGTTTCAAAGTCATCCGATGACAGTCCATCACCATCACGCAACATTTCTCTAAGAGAAACAATTTTGTTGTTAAATGTGCGAAACTGAAGCAAGATTACAATTTTCTCATGCCAAAACTCGTCTTCTTTTCTTTTCCATTGATGTAAAAGTTTCCTTGTTAACATAGTCTTACCAATTCCTGGTCGCCCTATAACAAGGATGGTTCGCGGATATGGCTGCTTCTTCCTGCCTTTTGTGGGTTTAAATATATCAGCTGTGCTAGTAAGTTTAGTAACTGTGCTTGGAGTTTTGAGATGGGATTGGTAAATTTCATGCCTTTTAAATTCCTTCGGGTAAGCGTTCTTGTGTTCTCTTCCTTCTTGAACGACGACATTGACATATATATCTTCAAGAGGTCGCATGGAAATTTCAGTACCACCAAAATCATCCTTTAATTGAAATACCTCTTCATCATCAGGATTGAATCTCTCTCGAACTTTGTTCACCAATTTTCTAATTCTTTTTCGTTTTCTCAACAAGTACACCGTACAAAATTCTTGGTCAGTCATGAAATTCCTGTCATTGAAGGTCAACCACGCGATGTAGCCAAGTTCCAAAAAGGTCACTGTCACGAAACAAACATCCACTGTTGCAACGAAAAAGAACAAGGTTTTACTTTCTTTGCTGATGGGGTTTGTACAGTGAATAAACGTTAAATTATTTCGTGAATTGAGGGTAACATTAAAATTGGATGTGCCTTTTCCTTGCATTTCAGGACCCAACGGACAGGGGAAATTCTTAGGAAACTGAGCTTGGTAAAATATCCATAGAGCAAATACTAACAATGGAATTATACGAGCGACGAGCAAATGTACGACATAGACGAAAAATGTTGAAAAACAACCCAAACATTCACGAACATCACGCGGGTTCTGGCCGGGATTTGGCGAAGGCAGCATCTCTTGATTTTCATCGCCGTCATTATTAGAAGTTGTAATTCCGGTCCGATAATCAAATTTTTCAACGCGATGTTTCACTAGATATCCATATATAATACTTAAAGCAAAGACGATGCCAAAGTTTAAGATAAACATAGCATACATAGGCCGAATAAAGAAGAATTTCTCTTGATACTCGAGGGAACATTTTATGTTTATGATTTTTGATAGAGATATATCTTTCGTCTTTGAAGTGGTCTTGTCATAACAATGAAATGGTGTGCCGAAAGCTAAATAACCTGAAAAACTGATAACTGCGACAGCAAACAACCCGAAAAACGTGAGAAGAACAACACCATAAGTATTGAAGCTCTTTCGAGGTAGATAGTCCATACACTTTTGCATCTTGAAAACCTACAAGATAAATGAGGCTTGTTAGCCGACTATTTTTTTATTCCCGTCAATAATTATGTTCCTACGTCTTAATTGCATGGCTTTTATACAAGTCTGCAACTAACACATAGTTTTTCAATAAGTTTAAGGCGTGTTATAGGATGCAAAAGTACCTGTGAATAACGAAAATAAATTAGTTTCAGATTCATTTACAAAATGTCGTGTCATGAACAGTTAAAATGGGTTGGACTTTTGGAAAGATTTTTGTTGAAATATATATAATGTATAGTGTAGGAGAGTTATAATATATTTTGCATTACAGCTTTATCAGTTAATCAATATGTGCGATTCTCATAAGCCGAGACGTGTGCCAAGGTGTGTGCGTGCGACCATTTGCCATTTCCAGGATGGCCTGCAACAAAGTGAAACAACACTCAAAATTTCAATGAGTCCAAAGCAGAACACTTACGACACATTCAAATTTTAAAAATAAGGGTTTGACTTAGGGATGAGTAGCATACGTCACACATCCGTACTCGACTCCTTGTTAAGCCAGGTTTACACTAGCAATTTTGTCGACGATTTTGTGTTTCTGACGGATGCAAATGAGTGAACTCACACACAAAGTATAGAGTCGCTTTTCAGACGTAAACAATTCTAAGAGGGTCCTGAAGGGGGGGGGGGGTCCCAATCCCATTTCCCACCTGAAATTTTGGCAAAATCCCAGTCCCAGTTGGATTTTTATTAGAAATCCCAGTCCGAGTTATTGAAATCCCAGTCAATAAAAAACCCTTTATTCATCGGTAGAATAAACAGTTTTAAGACGTTTTAAGCCACCGTGTGTGCAAGTGGTGGACACTTTATGAAACATGGGGAGGGGGTGGTGGGGGGGGGGCTCGTGCCGAAGGCACAGAAAATTTTAAAATATGAATCCCGGAAATGGCATTTGCAGCATTCTGAGACACGCATAATCAGAAAACCCAGAATTCCGGGCGCCAGAGTATGCCTGTTCGCAGGTAGTGCTGTGAATAATATAGTTAACAACAAAAATCATGACCAAAGACACCAAAAACAGATCAAAATTGTATTTTAAAA